TTGAAATTCATTTTTATTTTTTTATTGTTGACAGCATTACAAATGTCTCCCATTTACCATCTGCTCTGCCTTCTTCCACCCAGCACCCACTCCACCCCAGGACTTCACAAATTATTGTCTGTGTCCGTGGGTTTTTATGTTGGTCATCTCAAAATGACTAAATCATAAGTTTGATTTCTGTATAAGGGTTTTAGATTTCTTTGCTTATATGCTAAATTTCACTCTTACAGCAAACATCTGCAAGAACTCTTAAGGCTCTCAGATGGGAAAAGATGTGTCCATAACCTTCAATACAGGTTGAAAGTGAAAATTCATAATATAAGTTTATAAAACAAATAAAAGTCTTTGTCAGGATAAACAAAATGGAAGCCGTAAAAATAATTATTTTTCATAAATTATGCTATCATAGGTCTGAGGAACATTCTCTGAATGTAGCAGGAAAGTAAATTTAATAGGAATAAAAAAATATTTCTTTACCCAATGAGTAGCTCATGGTTTGGTCATGAGTTGAAAAGATAAGCTGTTTTAAGAAGACTTTGTAGAAAACCATGCACAAAGCTTCAATCTGTCATCAGAGCTTCAAACTATCATGTATATCATCATGATGAGGGACACATTAATAAGCCATACTCTTCTCCATAAGTTGTTCAGTCCTATTACATATCTAAATCCTTACAATGGAGGGAATACTTACTTTACCAAAAGGTAGGAAAGAGTGAGAAAATATAGAAGACTCATTAATATAATCATCAAATCATATTATACCTTTTTTTCTATATCACACTTTTGATAAAAGGTTAAATCATGTTGTCTTTAATCTTCCTCTTCAACTTGTCCAATAAAAATATAGGCCAATTTTCTGTGCTCTAATGATGATAGCTCCCCAGCAGTAATGGCACTCAATGGGACTTAAGAAATCATCATGCTAAATTATTAATTTTATTAATAAAGATATTGTGAAATTGAGCCAAAAGTCAAGGGAAGTAAAGGGGAAAATAAATGAATGGCATTATATCAAACTAAAAAGCTTCTGCACAGCAAAAGAAACTGACAACAAAACAAACAGGCAGCCAACCAGATGGGAGATGATATTTGCAAACAGTAGTTCCGACAAAGGTTTAGTTTTCAAAATATATAAAGAACTCATAAAACTCAACAACAAACAAACAACCCAATCAAAAAGTGGGCAGAGGACCTGAACAGACACCTCTCCCAAGAAGACATACGAAGAGCCATACAGAAGGATGTTAAACTTCACTAGCAATTAGGGAAATGCAAATCAAAACTACAATGAGATACCATCTCACACCTGTTAGAGTAGCTGTTATCAACAAGACAGGCAATAACAAGTGTTGGAGAAAAGGGAACCCTCATTTGCTGCTTGTGGGAATGTAGAATGGTACAACCACTATGGAAAGCAGTCTGGCAATTCCTCAAAAAATTAAGAATAGAGCTATCATATGACCAGCAATTATCATATTACCCAGCAATCCCTCTCCTGGCTATATACCTGAAAACTCAAAGACATGTATTTGCAAATATATATGCAAACCTACGTTTATTGCAGCATTATTCATGGTAGCCAAGACATAGAATCAAACAAAATGTCCTGTGATAGAGGACTGGATAAACAAAATGTGGCAGATGTACGCAATGGAATACTACTCAGCCATAAGAAAGGATGAAATACTACCATTTTTAACAACATGGATGGACCTTGAGAATATTATGCTAAGTGAAATAATCAGAAAAAGCTAAGAACTATATTATTTCACTCATATATGGTATATAAAACTGAAACTCATGAACACAAACAGCATTGTGGAGGTTACCAGAGGGGTGAAGGGGTGAGGGTGAAGAGGGTCTTAATATATGGTGACAGAGAAGATATGACTTTGGGTGGTGGGCACACAAAGTAATCAATGTACAGATCTTGTAACATAGAACCCCACACCTGAAACCTATATGTTCATATTAACCATTGTCACCCCAATAAATTTGATAAAGTAGAAAAAAAGATATTGAAAATCCTGACAGGTTGCTACTGTCCATAATTTAATAATCCCTTGGTGGTAGAACCTGAGTATGTATTCAAATTGGTTGCTTTTTCTACAAGAGCCCAGTAACATAGATATGTTTTATAATCATGGGTCTAACAAACCAGTTAGAACTCAGTCTTAGGTATGAGGCACTCGCAATTTACCAGGCTTGATGAACAAATTGTTTTGACAGATCTATCTGATATTTAAACATGATATTTTATGCCATGTTATTTACGCAAGATAATTATTCATATGGTTTTATTTATTTTTTATTTTAGAAAATCTCCTTTCATCCTAAAAATTCCCAGATAAATGAAGTCCTTGAAGTTAGGATATCTAAAAAATGTTGTCTTTAGCAGATATTTCTTTTGGCTTGAATTATAATTCTCACAATTAAATTTATTCAATATTTAACCATTCAGCTGTGGCTTGGATGTGACTTTTCTAGCTAGCTTTTTTGGAAAATTCTGCTACAACTTCTGCAGAAGACAAACAAATTATTAAAAGTTTGAAGTTTCTATTTTTAATATTATTTACCATTTTCTGGCACTAAACAACATATCCTATTATTTATTATCCACTTTTGTCAATAAAAATTAGTTTTTATAAGGGTAAGGGACTTTTCTTCTCTTTTGTTTTCTTTTCCTTTCTCTCTTTACTTTTTATTTTATATATATAAATTTATTTATTTATTTATTTATTTTAATCCTCACTCAAGGATATCCTTTCCATTGCTTTTCAGAGAGAGTGGAAGGGAGAGAGACGGAGAGGGAAGGAGGGAGGGGGGGAGAGAGAGGGAGGGAGAGAGAGAGAGAGAGAGAATGAGATCCCTGTGAGAGGCACACTGATTGGTTGCCTCCGTCACATGCGCTGACCAGGGCCAGAGATCGAACCTGCAATGGAGGTATGTGCCTTTGGCTGGAATCAAACCCAGAACCCTTCAGTCCTTCGTCCAACATTCTAACCACTGAGCTAAAACGGCTAGGGCTCTCTCTTTACTTTTATAACACTATTGTCCTGCACAAGAACTCTACATACTCTACATATTTTTACTGATTTCCTATAGAAAATACTAGGGATAACATATGTGCTTATGATGTATTGTATCTATAGCATTTTTCAGAATGCAATATTTTGTATTTTATTTGGGATATCAGGAGTTTTAGATATTCAATAATGGGAAATTTAATTTCTTACACTCTTTAAGAATTGTTCTCAATAAATTTTCTGTAAAGAAAACTCCATACAGGATATATTCCTAATGTGAGATAATCGATTGAAATAGAAACAATCAGGGTAATTTTATATTGAATATAAACTGCAATGTCATATTTTTTTTACTCAAAAAGGCACAAATTATCTAAAGTCCTTCTAATTTAAGGAAAGATCTTGTGTTCATACTTTAGACTCTACTTTAAGTTCACTTAAGAAGAAGTTTCTTTCCAGTAAGTTAAAACATATTTTGTTCCTATGCACTTTTTTTAATCCTCACCTGAGTGTGTGTATGTGTGTGTGTGTGTGCGTGTGCGTGTATATATATATATATATATATATATATATAAATTTTGTTTTTACAGATAGAGAAAGGGAGACAGAGAGAGGAGGGAGTAGAGAGAGAAACACCAATGTGAGAGAAACACTGATTGGTTGCCTCTGACACACACCCCAGCTGGGTTGAAACCCACAAGGTATGTGTCCTGACCAGGAATTGAACTCGCAACCTTTTGGTGTACAGAATGACTCCAATCAAGTGAGCCACCTGACCAGGGCTTATGAACTTTTCTTATGGTCAGTACTTAAAGTATTTAAATCTTCAAAATTGAAAAGTGTATCTAATCTCAGTTTCGGACACTGTCCTGTCGTATTTTTCCTGTTTTTTCATTTTACACTCCTGGCAGAAGTTTTGACAGTTAACTCAAGCCGAACTGAGACTGTAAATCATGAAATTTGTCACACATTTTCAAATAAATAAATAAATAAACAAACAAATAAATAAATAAATGACAATATGGAGGTTTAAAATTAGCAAAATTGAGAAAATGTAATTTTTTAGAAAACCACAGTGGGATAAAGGAAAGAATAATTAAAATGTAAATCTTAACCATGTCTATAATAACAACAGGAAAGGAAAACAGGGTTTTTGCTAGCTACTTTAAGATTTTCTACCTTACCAAAATTTGCTGCAGATCCAAAACATTTCTCTTTCCATAAAATGAATAGATAGAAATTAAAGAATGCCCTATTGTTAAATGTACTATTATTTTGATTTAATATATAATTTCTAAGATAAACTTAAATGGATTTTAAAGACTGTTTACAGTTATTTTATTAACAGAATTACTAATTCTGCAGAGTAATTTGTACTTATCTTTTAGAATGCATATCTATTAGAAAATTAGAATAATTATTTATATATGGCCAATGACACATGTTGCAAGGCTTTAAAACACAAACATACAAACAAAATCTCAGAGAAACATTCATGGGACATGAAATCATTAAAACATAGAATTTTAAAACCTAAGGTTACATTTTATAGGCTGCATGTAAGAGCAGGTCAACCCAGCTGTAAAATAATTATTTAACTTTGGGGAATAGGCCGTAGACTCACAGGAGTGGGGGACCTTTTTTCTACCAAGGGCCGTTTGGATATTTATAAAATCATTCTCAGGCTATACAAAATTATCAACTTAAAAATTAGCCTGCTATATTTGGTCAAACATTTAATTAGCTCAACCCTAATGTGATGGCTGGAACTGCTTCTCTTTGGTGAGGCCTTGGCAAGGCCAGACCAAATGATTTCAAGGGCCAGACATTCCCCACCCCTCCCTAGGAGCTACAATGAAGAGAATCTGTTTTAAACATTCTATGTCCTAAACTTTGATTAATATTCTTTTCTGAGCAACAAAATTTCATTGCAGTATCACATTTTTATATTTTCTATAGTAACACATTTACCCAGGACCCATGGTAATATCATCCACTCGACGATGGTTGGTGGTGGACCTTGCCTGTTCAAATCTGATCTGTCGATGTGTTGAGAGGCAAGCAACAGCAGAAACAAGAAAGTCAAATATGATGCTGTATGACAGATAAACTTGATAAATGGCTTTCTGATGAACAGTCCAAGAGGGCTTTTAGGAGCTATAAGGTAGCACAGGGAGAAGACAGGAAAAAGAAGTCCTATTATGAAACATGTCACCATCTTCACTGCCCAGTGTCTTCTCCTCCACCCTGGGAACTCGTCATACCAGCGAGATGCAAGCAGTTGTTGACAATTGGGCTGGGCAACAAACTAAATGGAAAGGAAAAGGAAAAGGAAGATTCAGTGTTACATATAAAGGCTTTAGTTAATGAATAATCTTATTAACCAATGTCAACCCAATAAATTTAATAATTATTTTTAAAAAGAACACAGTTATCTTTAAAGTCAGAAGTTTTGTTTTAAATAATTTTATATTTGAACAATCACAAAGTCTTGAAGTCATTCTCAGAATTAGCCCACTTATTGAACATTTTAAACTCAAAGCATTGTGCTATGTGCTTGCCAAACACAAGAGAAATCAAAATACTATAGCTATTTTGAGGAAGCAAAATAGAGCTGGGAAAGAATATAATTTATAAGTTATGTTCATAAGTGAACCAAGCTGCATAGAAAGATACACACATATATGTGTATGTATGTGTGTGTGTGTGTATATATATATATATATATATATATATATATGAATTATAATATACAGGAGTGGGAAAAAGTAGGTTTATAGATGTGAGTACAGGAAACACAGAGTTTATTCTTGTATTATTATTTATTCTTGTATTATATATTTTTCCATATGAACAACTGTAAGCCTACTTTTGCCAACCCCTTTATATGGCAAAAATTAAAAATGTTAATAGTGGTTATTTCTTGGTTTAGTGGTTATTTTCTGTGACAAGTATAACATATACTTGTATTTCATTTTTTACTGCCATGTACTTTTAATATTTTCTATAATAAGCACTTAACTACTTTTATCATCTAGAAAAAATAAATATACTTTTATTTGGATTGAGGCAATAAGAAAAACATACATGAAATCATATTAGGATGACCAGTATGTAAATCATCATAGCTGAACTTCGTGGAAATAAAGCAAAGTCCTTACCTAAGTATAGTCAATTGTCATATACAAAACATTTCACAAACATGACACTATGTTTGACATGTAGCATAGACTTTATTTTAAGAATGAGGATAGAGGAAGTTATAAGAGGTCAGTAAATTTATTCAATATTACATATCTAGTAAATGATGAAATGTTTGACTATCTGGTCCAGATTTTTATTTTTTTCCTGCACACTACATTTCTTTTTGGGATTGACATTTCTTCTTTTTATATAAGCATTATATAAATTCAGATGACGTTTTCTCTTCCAGATGGAATCGTCTGAGAACACTTCCCATTAGGTAGGTCTGTTAAGCAGAGAAGAGAAGGGAAAGCAATTCAAGAAAAGGTAGGGTGGGAGAGAGATCATATAACCTGGTAAGAAAGTGTACAGTGTGTTTAAAGGATGCCCATGGGTAGTTTTGACTGTAGCAGAAGTTTTAGTCCTTTGTTTGGACCTTAGGAAAATTCTGTTTGCATTAAAAATAAGCCTACCCTATGCTTTTCAGAGCAAAACACTTTCATGTACACTTTCTTAAACACCTTATAACAAATCAGAAAGTAGACATTATCATTCCTAATATTCAGATGTTAAGAAAAACTTTCAAAATTTGGAGATAGGCAAAAAGGTCCTTTTGATGTCACAATGTCTAACAGGATTATCTAATTCTCCCGGGCATTATGTTCTATATCCTCTACTGGACAAACAAGAGAAAGAAAAACTAAAAGAAAAGAGATTGCAGCACAGAAACAGCGGCCAATGTAGAACGTAGGAAAAAAAATAAGCGATCCCAAGATGCCTGTGGAGTAGCTAGAAGCTCTGTTTGCTTGCTTCCAACACCAGACCTGCCATATGGCTAAACTTCAGAGCAATTGCCTTGAAAAAACAGTTGAAATGTAGCTGATCAGAAATATTGAGAGCATAGAATATGGAGGAAGGACAAGAGGAAATGGAGAGAGGGTGAGCCAACTCACCCAGGTGTGTGGCTGGGAAGCCAGAGGGATATTGCAGCAGCAGAACACCTGCCCCCTGGAAGCATGGGGTCTCAGCCCCAGGCCAGTATCCCCAATCAATAGCAACAGAGAAGGAAAGGGGAGTCCAGGTAGCATCAGGCAGTAGGAATCAATAGGGATTCAGTCCACCTGGGAGACTCAGACTGTACCATCCCAGGCAAAGAACAATTTCTTTGTTACACCAGCCTGGGAAGTTTGCTCCAATCTGTGCCTGCAGGAGGGGCCACAAGACAAAATTCAAGCTGGTGGGGGGGTCTGACCGGTACACCCAGCAGTGACTCTAAGGGTCCCTTTATTCTCTGAAAGAACTTTGGACAAAGGTCTGGATGGGGCTGACAGTGTGGCTTGGGAAAGAGGATTGGTCTTGCCCATCTTGAACACAAAGGCAGTGCCATGGGGTGCCAGGGAGCCAGGCAGAGCTGAGGCATTGGGATTGTGTCTCCTGGGTGGGTTTCTCTCTGGGGAGACAGACAGGTGTATGCTGAGCTCTTCAGTGCATTATGGGAAAGGAGAGGAGATTCACAGTGAGTTCAGCTGGTGCAGCCCTGGGAAGGAGAGGCAGTGCCTGCTCACCCTCCTACAGGGTATGGGCACCACTGACAATGTGAGTATGTTTAAACCACCCTGGCCAGGTTCCAGATACCCATGCAAACTGCAGTTCCAGAAGGGGAGAGAGAGGAGCTCAGAGCAAGGACATTCAACACACAAGACCCAAGTCAGAGCCAGCCTTTGAGCTCTGGAGGAGACTGCTCGCAGTCTACTTGGGACTCCACTCAGCTGAGCTTCAGTGAGATTGCTGAAGGACAGCAAGGGACAGCGAATGGCATTGGCTTGCACCAGAGAACCTCCCGGGAGGCTTAGAGACTGGCACACCAAGTAGCCAGACTGGGACACAGTGGAGCAAAATCCAGTAGGCTCCACAAATAGCAGGTCCAAAGTGTAATTATAGCTGGCATAAAAATCTGCAGAAGCAAACTTTATGTATTTATATATTTTTTAAATCTTTTTTTTTCCTTTTCTTTTTAAAATTGTTTTATTTCTTCTCTATTTTCTTTTGTATCTCTTATTTCTTTTTCCTTTTATTATTCTATTTTTCTTTCTCTTTTCTTTTTTCTTTTGATTTATTTTTCTTTCCATTTTCTTTTTCCATTCTATATTTCACTTTATTCATTAATATTATTTTTAATTATTATTATTTCATTTATTATTTTTCTTTTTTTTAATTCTTTTTCTTTTTCTCCCATCTTTTCTTTCATATTCTCTTTTTTTGTTCCTCTTTTGTCTTCTCTAATTCTTTTGGTCTCTTGTCTTTGAGTATTCTATTTTAAAAATTCTTTTTGTTGTTCTTTTTGTCGTTCTGGCTTTGTTTTCAATTTGGCCTTGTTTTGCTTTGTCAGTACCTGTGTAAAAGTTGGCATGATGTGGTTGGGGCTTCACAGTCAGCCAGACCTATGGCTGAGTCCATCCATGAACAGAACAAGAGCAATCAAGACCCATTTACAACAGGAGGGTCCACATAGCTCACACAAAGGACATTCCTAGAATGCCCACCCAGCTCAGAAGATCAAAGAAACTATACCACTGGGTCTCACAAGACACCCACTACAGAAGGCCACCCCACCAAGACTGGGAGTCATAGCAGTTGTATCCAATACATAGAAACAAACACAAAGAAACAGCAAAAATGGGAAAACAAAGAAACAGGTCCCAAATGAAACAACAGGAAGAATTTTTAGAGAAAGAGCTAAATGAAATGGGGCAAGCAATTTATCAGAAACAGAGTATAAAGTGATGGATTCAAATATTCTCAACAGCATGAAAAAGGACATATAAATGATGAAAAAAAGTCAAAAATGAAGAATGACATATCTGAAATAAAGAATGCACTTGAAGGAATAAATAGTAGGTTAGAGGAAGCAGAGAATCTGATCAGGAAATGAGAAAACAAAGTAGAAATAATCAGTCAATCAGAGAAGCAAAATGAAAAAAAAAATCATTAAAAAGTATGAAGATAGTTTAAAGGACTTTGGGACAACATGAAATGTAACAACATTAACATCTTAGGGATACCAGAGAGAAAGATACTGAGCAAGGGACAGAGAGCCTCTTTGAACAAATAATGACATAAAACTTCCCTAATGTGGTGAAGAAAAAAGTCACACAAATTCAAGAAGCACAGAATTCCCAATCAAAATAAACCCAGAGACCTAAACCAATACACACCATAATTAAAATGGCAAAGATTAAAGTCAAAGAGAGAACCTTAAGGGCAGCAAGAGAGAGACAGTCAGTTACCTGCAAGGGAGTTGCCATAAGGTTGTCAGCTGGTTTCTCAACAGAAACACTACAGGCCAGAAGGGATTGGCATGTAATGAAAATAAAGAATCTGAAGCCAAGACTCCTCTATGCAACAGGGTTATCTTTCAAAATTGAAGATGAAATAAAGAGCTTCCCAGACATAAAAAGGTTAAAGGGGTTTACAACCACCAAACCAGCATTGCAAAAATGTTAGAGACTTCTGGAAAAAGAAGAAGATGAAGAAGGAGAGAGAGAGGAAGAGGGAGAGAAAGAGAGAGAGGGAGGAGAGAGAGAGAGGAACATAGGGATAAAGAATAAAGATGGCAATAAATAAATATATATCAATAATAAACTTAAATGTAAATGGGATAAATGCTACAATTAAAAGACATAAAGTAGCTGACTCAACAAAAACAACATAATCCACGCATATCCTGTCTACCAGAGACCAATCTCAAAACAAAAGACTCACTCGGAATGAAAGTGAAGGGATGGAAATAAATTTTTCAATGCAAATGGAAATGAAAACAAAGCTGGGATAGCAATACTTATATGTGACAAGATAGATTACAAAACAAAGGCCATAAAAGAGACAAAGAAGGTCAGTACATAATACTAAAGGGATCAATACAAGAGGATATAATACTGGTAAACAAACATTCACCCAAATTGGTAACACCTAAACATATATTTAAAAAAAAATCTTGGAGGAATTTGAAGGTGAGATGGACAGCAATAAAGTCATAGTAGGTGACATTAACACTCCACTGACATCACTGGATAGATCTTTAAGTCAAAAAATCAACATGGAAACAGTGACCCTAAATGACACACT